AAATATGGTAGTTGTTTGGTTTGTCCAATAACATTTTCTTTATTTTGTGATCCAGTTATTGCTGAAGATGGTCATACATATGAACGTCAAGCTATTACTGATTGGATTCAACATAATAGTACAAGTCCATTAACACGTGAATCAATTACAATTACAGGATTACGTCCAAATCATGTTGTTCGAAATTTAATTGATGAATTTCGAAAAACTTTATCGAAACATAATTATAAATTTAAATTAGGTGTTGATATTGAACGTTCTCAAAAGCCATTTTTTCAAACAACAGGTAAAGCTATTTTTGAAGCTAAATGGATTGGTAATCCTAATGGACCACCTATTATTTTGCTTAAATTATTTGGTGCTCGTGCTGAAAAAGAAGCATCATTTTATGAACATTTAACACGTCATCCACATATTGTTTATACATATGGTTTAGTCGAACAATCAAAAGGTACTTCTAATACATTTGTTATGCTTTTACAAGAAATGGCACCCGAAGGAAGTTTAATTAATGTACTTGAACATTGTTCAGAAAAATATCCTAATATTCCATTATCAGATTTATTACTTAATCATATTTTTTTACAAATATGTGATGCTATGATATTTCTATCATCGAAAGATATTATACATGGTGATCTAGCTTGTCGAAATGTATTAGTATTTCATTTTGATATACAAGAACCTAATAGAACATTAGTTAAAATAACTGATTTTGGTATTAGTCGTGGTAATACTATTTATTCAAAAATAGATGCTGTAGCTACAGTTATTAATACAATCCCACTTCGATCATCAGCACCTGAAGTACTTCAAAATAGTGATGATGATTCAACAGATGTTTATTCAGAAAAAACAGATATGTTTGTTATGGGTGTACTTATGTGGGAAGCTTATTCAAATGGACAAATGCCATGGAGTGAAATAAATAGAGAATCGATAGTACGTCAAAAAGTAATCAATGGTGAACGTTTATCACGTCCAGATAATTGTAAATCTGATTGTCAATGGAATTTAATATTAAAATGTATGTCACAAAATCCTGATGATCGACCAACATTTCAAGAATTAGCTAAACAATTAACAGAATTTATAAATTTACCTATTAATTCAAATTTATCAGTTAGAAGTTTGATATCTTATTGATAGTATATTGAATTTAGATTTCTTTTTAGAATTCATGTCAATCGATAAACATTTCGAAAAATTCATCAATTATAGAACAAGAAAAAGGTGATAAAATGACTTTTATTTTGAATAAAACTCAAGAAGAATTAAATATTTTCTAGAAAAACTAGACGAAAGTCCACAATCTTCTTTTAGTATGTAGAACAAATATTCAAAAATGATTCCATTGGCATTTATATTTTTCGAATAGTTATACAAGAAACAGACCATAATAATGCTGATAATTGTCATGAACCAATTCGACCATCTCCTTCATTGGCTGGTGTCAATGTGGCAAGTAGACGTAAATTGTAAGTGAAAAAATTAATTCTATTTTCGAAATACAAAATAAATAATAAGTTCAAATATATAGTTTTGAAAAAGTATTTGAACCACAGAGACCATTGTCACCGACGAAATCATTACCCATAAGAAAAAACACTGCAGTTACACCTCCTCGAGAAGAATTAATCAAGGTTAAATTTTTTATTTTCATAATTAAGTGACAACTTTTTATTTTTATTTTTTTTCTAGCTAACAAAATGGCATTAAAATTTATATTCATTATGATAAAATATCTTTATTTGTTAATACATATACGAACTTATTATTGCCTTTCTATGTCTGTGAGTTCATAGTTAAATTAAATAAAAATAATTTTCTTAGTGTGAAATACTTTGAAAAGTTTTTTTTTTCTCTTAATTGTATAAGATATACTTGGAAAACTTAATTTTCAACGAAAAAACGTTTTCTTTTTATATCACTAATGTTTTCTGCTTGTTCTGTTTTGTAATTTGCTTTATTTACGTTTTTTTTTTTCTTTTCTTTCTTTTTTATACGAAAAAAAAATAACCTTGACTGACATACTGTCACATCCATGTGTCATTATATTGCGACAATAAATATCTGTCTTTAAGCTAAAATAATATTCAATTACGACATTTTACTAAATTGCAACAGTCTTTAAATACGTTGTTGAGAGTTATTCGACGTAATACAATGTGTGAAAACGAGTATGAAAATTATGAAAAGTTGATTTTTTTGAATAATTTGATTTTAATTTCTGATCTCGAATTCTGTAATAGTCTTCTTATTTAGAAGTTAGAAAAAAAAAATTAGATTATTGAAATTATTTAAAATTTCAAAAGTTTTATTATATAATTAGAAAATCATTTTATGTATTTATTTTCATTTCTAATTCGTTCGCTTTAGGTTTCTTAACAGGCACATGAAGACATTGACTTAACGGACGATATTTAAAATTAACTAACGAAATTAAATTTTAACCGAATAGAAAAAGAATATGTTGCATTAATTTCTACACATGAACGAGGGTCAACAGGAACATTTTTCTCATCACAATGTTTTCGAAAAACAAATACATTATGATAGTAAGTCAACCATGGACTGCAAATGGACATATATATATTCATCTTAGTTCGACATGAAGGTTTTCCCCAGTTATATCCCTTATGATGCACTTGAAATTTTTTTTTCTCTTCGCCTTGAGTCAAACGCATACAGAAACCTAGAACTGATGGCGTTGATTACAAATATAATTTTAATTTTTTCCTAAAGCATTTTGGTAAATAGGAAGAGCAAATTTTCAAGATATTAGGCCTTTGGTGAATAAGTCAGTTGTTCTTTGTTCTGCTATCAGCCTTTTATAACGGTCTAAATGTTTGAAAAGAAATTTCAAAAGGGTATTCAAGCAGTGTTTATCTAATGAAACAGAAATTAAGACATCTCAATTGATGAAACAGTCCATAGAATTAGATAACGAGCGAAAAATCTAGTCAATTGATGTGTACGACTTCTTTTAAAATTATATCATCCGATTATTCTTTGAAAATGATAAAGGTAAATCTAGTTTTTCATTTTCTATTCAAATATATGCTTGAAGAAAGAAAAAAATCCATCCTTTCAGGGTAATATTAGCAATTTTAGTAGTGACACAGTATGTTTTCAGATCATCTTTTTACAGTTCTGCCATGTTGTGCGTTGTCCGATATGTTTAACTAACATAATTAGTATTTCATTAGGTAGAGAACACTTGATTACCAAGATTGAATATTTCTTAAGCATTACAGACCCTATACAGATTGATGAGAAAAGATCAAAAGTCCTTTAACTTTGACAGTCAACTATGTCGAAAAACAATAAGGATGGTTTAGTTATTTCCATCATTACGGTTAGATTTTACAAAAAAACCATATGGTAATAATAAGTCAATTATGGACTACAACTTAGATATAGTTATTTATATTTATTTGTCATCGAGATTTTTCACACCTGTATTTCCTCCAGTGCTCGGAAATCTGGGAAACTATTTTTTTTTTCTTGATTTTGGACTAGACATATGTCATTATGCAGAGTTTATAGCGCTGATCATGAATATCTCTTCAATTTTTTGTCTAAATCATTTTAACAAATGAGAAGACGAAATATCCAACGTTTTGACTATAGGAAAAAAATGACAGCTCCCTTTGCTTGTTGTCGAAGCCATTTCGCTTCAAAAGAGTGCTCGAAATCTTTGAAAATATATTTAATATAGATAATTGAGTGTTCTCTATCTAATGAAACATTAATTATGCCAGTTAAATGCATAGAACATCGCACAGAATGCCAGAACCGTGAAAAGATGATTTAAAAAATATGACTTTTCACCACTAAATACTGATTTTACCTCAAAAGAACAGTTTTTTTCCATCTTCAAGCACATATTTGAATAGAAGATAAAGAACTCGGTCTACTCCTATTGCTTTCAAACGATAATCGGGTGACGTAGTGAAGTGATATAATTTCAAAAGGAGTCGCACTCATCAATGGATTAGGTTTTTCGTTCGTAATCCAATTCTATGACCTATTTCATCTATTGAAATGTCTTAATTTCTGCGTCATTGGATAAACCATACTTGAATAACCATTCGGAATTTCTTGTCAAATGTTTAGAACATTATAAAAGGTCGGTAGCTGATCAAAAATAAAAAGAATGACATGCTTATTCATTAAAGACCTAATCTTTTGAAAATTGCTCTCCTCGTTCATCGAAATAGTTTAGACACAAAACTAAGATAACATGCATAATCAGCGCCGTCATCTCTATTTTTTAGCATGTGTTTGATTCAACACGAAAAGAAAAAAAAAATTCAAACGTGGCATAGGAGAAAACAAGTGCAAAAAGTTTTCATGTCGAACTAAGATGTACAAATACGCCCATGTTGTAATTCATGATTGACTGATTGTCGTGATGTACTTATTTTTCGAAAACATTTTGAGAAGAAAAATGTCCTTGTCCAGCCTTGTCTTTTCAAATTCTCGTCTCGAAATTCTATTAGTGAATGAGGTTTAACAGTTCACTTTTTATCCATGTTAAATTAAATTAATCGAATTCACATGAAAAAATATACAATATCGAAAGTACTATTAAACTATTATGTAGAAAATGACTGATGATCTTCTTTTGTCATGTCAGAACTTATTATCATTGAAGTCAGTTTTTCAAATTTAGTTTAACGAGTTTCATAATCATTAAAAAGGTCTCTATTATTCACGACTCACTTGTTGATCACGAGCATACACAAAAAGTGGTTATATACTAGCTGATACATTGCTTTGGGCGATCTCTTTTCTTTCATCTAATTGTCTCTCTTTTTCAATCTCTTTACTAGCATATGCCAACTAAGAGATTGAAAAAGAGAGAAAGATAGAAGAAAGCAAAGAGACCGTCCTGAGCATCATACGAACTAATGTCCGTCCAAAAAGTCCGTGCGTGTGACTATTTTTTGAATAATTTTTGATAGGAACAAGATACAGACCTGCGGTTTTCGGCGTTCGACAGCCAAGGCAAAGAGGCATCTTTTCACTAGGAAAACCGTTTCTGAGGAACAATTTCGAAGTCAGTTTATCACAGGATCTTTGAAAAGTTAGATTGGATTTGTCAAAACTTGCATGGAAACCTATTGATTTTTTTACATATTTGGAATCTCCAATAACAACTGAGTCAACTCATATATGTTTCGAATCATTTCGCGACACTATTTTTTTTCATCGAAAACCTCTGTCCTAGGAACCCGTCAATAAATAAAGTTCGTCAAAACGCCGTTTCTATCGTTTAATCTTGCGCCATTTTGTGTTATAGTAGCATTTTACAACTTCTGAAGTTGCTTTCCAGTGTCCAAGTGATCTTTTGACTAAATTTATTTATAGACGGGTTCCTAGGACAGAGGTTTTCGATGAAAAAAAATGTCGCGAAATGATTCGAAACATATATGAGTTGACTCAGTCTCTAGTGGAGATTCCAAATATCTAAAAAAATCAATAGGTTTCCATGCAAGTTTTGAAAAATCCAATCTAACTTTTCAAAGATCCTGTGATAAACTGACTTCGAAATTGTTCCTCAGAAAAGTTTTTCATAGTGAAAAGATGCCTCTTTGCCTTGGCTGTCGAACGCCGAAAACCGCAGGTCTGTATCTTGTTCCTATCAAAAATTATTCAAAAAATAGTCGTACGCACGGACTTTTTGGACGGACATTAGTATGTGACCAATAAACGAGTCGTAAATAAGATTCATTGTTTTATATCGACACGAAGAATAATCTGCAGTAAATAGTCCAATCACTATTAATATCAATTGATTATCTTCTATTTAAAGAAATGGATAATCGAACTGTCAATGATGAACTTTATTCAATAGTTTATCAAGGTGACATATTAAATGAACTTGATACACGTCTAAAATCATTGCCTGATATTGATAAGACTCTTAACTTCTTCTATGAACGAGATAATCAATATATAAATTTACTAATGTTAGCCGCTTTACATGGCCATGATACGGTGGCACACATTTTACTTTCTCATTCTTCTAATGTTAAACATTTAGTAGAACTTACTGGTATTGTATATGGTACTAATGGAATCCGTACATTTCATACTACTGCATTGTGGTGTGCTTGTGATCGAGGTTATTATACAGTAGCTCGTATACTTATCGAAGTAGGACGAGCTAGTGTTTATCATGGTCCAAGAAATCCATTATTGATCGATGCTACGATTAATGAACGTTTTGATACGATTCAATTTTTAATTGAAAATGGTTATGTGGATATAAATCGAACAAAAGAAAATAATCATCCTAAATACAATAGTCTAATGATTTCTGCTGCTCGTGGTCATACAAAGATTGTTGCCTATCTCCTTGAAAAAGGTGCCAAGATAGATTATAAAACACGAATATATAATGATACAGCCTTAGGATGTGCTGCTATGCATGGTCATTTAGCTATAGTACAATTATTATGTTCTGCAGGTGCTTCGACTAATATGAAGAATAGTATTGGAGAAACACCATTGATGTTAGCATTCAAAAATAGTTATTTACATGTTGTTGACTATCTTTTAAATCTCACAGACAATGAATTATGTATTGAAGAGCTTGAGATCATCGCTTGTTCATTCATCATACCAACGAGAGGTATCAGTAACTATCAACCACAATATGTAAAAATGATAGATTTAATTCG